GACTATACAAATATATATACTCACAAAGAAGCTCAGCTTGAAGTGTCAAAGTTAATATTTTCACTGCAATCTTTAGCCCACTAATTAACAAACATATACATCAAGAGAGATCATTTGGAGAATAAAAAAAAAGACAAATTCAAGTAGAGATCAAATGCATGCAAAGAAAGAAAGAGAGATTAGGTACACTGAGATGTGATAGTTGCTGGAGTTCTTTGCCCAAAGATCATTGATCTTTTATTTTCCCAATGAAAAATAGGTTCATAAGCAGGAAAAGGAGATTCCTCAAGATGCTGCAAGTAATTTACAATAATGTAAAAATATTTAAGTAGTATCACAAGTGCAAATGCACGAAGTACGAAAACTATTGCTACGTATCTCTTCATTCATGGAATCTTCTATTTTAGTTCTTCGAGCATTAGCAAAACTTGTTTCTGAAAGTTTAGAAAAACATAATTAGTTATTGCACATGTCCCTAGTACTATAAAATTGCAAATATTTTGTTCCCTACAATATAGGGAAAAGGGGTGTTGTAGAGGGTGTATTCGATTCAAAGCTATTTTGTGAGAACAAATTAAAAACCATGACTTGCTAGGAGAAGAATGAATTCATATAACATCAGAGCTTATAAACTGGAATGTAAGGGAATTCTAAAAATGAGATTATACTTCTAGTAACTGGAACAAAGACTTCATGTTGACCAACCTTTCTACTGTTTGTTGATAAACACTTCCAAGGAAGTTAAGTGGAAGAGACAACTGGAAAAGTAGCCCATTTACCACGACTTACGAGAAAAAAGTTGAAAAATCAATATCATTAATCATCTTATGGTAGAAGTGTTCCCTTTTTTTCCTGGATTTGATAGTATTTAAACCAAAATAATAAGAAGATTAAAGTTTTACCAAGTCACTAACAGTCATGTCGCCATTTAAAATCCGTTGGGAACACAAGACTATAGCTGCACATAGTGCTATGCTAAATATTAAATTCTAGCCAAAGTGTAAATAGGCAAAGCATCGTTGAGTTTGTAA